GGCCCTGGCCCGGCCCGTGCGCAGCCAATGGACCGCGGCTGTTCCGCAGCAGCGCCACCGCCCTCCGCGCCGGTGGCTCCTGAGCTTAGGGTGGGAGGTCTTGCCTGAGCTACAGGTCGAAGCGCTTGGTGTTGCAATGGGGAAGACCTGAGGTTCTGTTTACATCTTTTAGAGAACAGCTAAAAGGAAGTTCAGTGTCCGCAGAGCTACAAACTTGGAGATCCCTGCATTAGGCCCCAAACCAAGAACCCATGCATAAGCCAGACTGGGGACGGTGTCGTTTTAACTCAGGGGACGTTTTTGCCTCCTTGATTCACTGCACCAGTCACAAACGTTCGGCACAGTTGCTGTTTCCATTCTTAAAGCAGTTTCTTCGTTGGTCACAGTGACAACACATTCTCTTTACTGGCATTCTTTCTGCATTGCCTCCATCCCCACGACCAAACCTTTAAATGTGAAATGCCGTTAGGGTCCGGACCTTGGCCCATTTTTTATTATTCTTGTTTTACATTTAATTACTGTTCCTCTTTACAGCATACAAAATGAACTGAATATACTGCATATTAGTGTAGTAAAAAATATTACCATACACATTATCAGCAACAGATCATTTTCCATTTTCGTGTCCATTAAATGTTTTGCTTCCCCCTCCCCTTTCCTCCCTCCTTTCCTTGTTTCCCTCCCTCTCACCCCCGATCCACTTCTTAACCTACTCTTCTCACAGTGCTATGTGGTGATGACTTCATCCACAGTCTTGATCCCTTCTATAGTAATGCCCCATAATAAACAGCCTGTGGGTCAATGACAGAGCTTATACTGTGGTGGCCTCATAAGGCTACAGTAGTCCATTCCGTGTAGTCTAGGTATGTGAGAGGTTGTGCCATCTAGGTTTGGACAAGCACATTCTGTGATATTCTCCAAGGGCCACGTGTTGCTAAGCAAGCACAACTGTAGAAGGAGGGCTCCTGAATGGTATCCTGTCCGCACCTCTCCTAGGAGCTCCACACCCGCATGAGTAGCCCCCACTTGAATCTCCACTTGGATGTCCACTGAGCTCTGCAAACCACATTCAAAACCAAAGTACTTATGTGTACATGCTTGGTTTATTACACCCCCATATGTGTTTTTCAAGATTGTTTTGTACCCTACAAAGATGTGTAATGAATGCATGTACAAAATAAGTTACAATAAATATTTTTTAAATAATCAAAGTCATCACGTTTCTCCCAAGACCTGCTCTTTTTCTAGAAATGGTACATGCCATATACATGGGACTCATCTTTGACATTGCCTTCCCTCAACCCCACACATGATCCTCAAGCCTTATTGATTCTTCCTTCCAAGTATGTCTCAAGTCTCACTCCTCTCCATCTCTTCGGCCATCATCCTTTTCTCATTTGGATCATTGCAGTAGATTTGCAAATGGCTGCCTCACTTCAACTTAGTTCCCTTTCAATCCATCTCCAATCAGCAGTTTGAGTGATTTTTTTTTTCTTTTAGAGAGTTTTGCTATAGGGTGCGTACACTTGCTGGAGAGACAGAGACAGACAGAAAGTCAGAGATCACCCCCCAGGGGAGATGGTCACACTGCAATCCCTTCTCCTCCATTCTCCTCTCTTGGGCATGCATGTACATACATGCACCCAGTATGAGTTTAAGCCCCTGGGTCCAGGACTTGAACCACAGTGGATTATGTGGGAGTCCAGCAATGTAACCATTATGCCATCTGCTGGTCCCATTGAGTGATTTTTTTTTTTGAGAGCTTTTCCTTATAGGGCGCGTGCGCTCGCCAGACAGACAGAGAGAGACATAGAGACAGCGAGAAATCACTCCCCAGAAGGGTTGGTCACGCCGCAATCCCTTCTCCTCCATTCTCCTCTCGGGATCTTGGGCATGCACGCACACGTGCCCGGCGTGAGTTTTAAGCCACCGGGTCCGGGACGCGAACTGCGGTCGACTACATGGGAGTCCAGCGACATAGCCATTACGCTAACTGCTGGTTCCCATTGAGTGATATTTTTTAAAATGCACAGCAGATCATGTCATGTACCAACCTCAAAATCCTGTGATGGGTTTTCTTTGCTCTTATGAAATTCAAATTCCTTAATACAGCCTGTAAAGCCCTGACTTGTCTATCACTTTCCTTAACCCCATCTTCTGCCATTCTTTCTTTTCCTTATGTCAGCATGTTTGTTCTTGAAATAAGCCAAAATCTTCCCCCAAACTCAGGGCCTTCTCACCAGAAGTTCTTCTTTTGGAAAGCCCCTTGAACCAACACCACCTCCCCTAACTTCACCAATTAACTTATCTTTCAGGTCTTAGCTTAAAATTTCAGCTTAAATATGAAAAAATGCTCAACATCCTTTATCATAAGGGAAATATGAATCAAAAGCACAGTGAAATACCACCTGACCCCAGTGGGAATGGCTAAGATTAAAAAGGTAAAGAACGATAAATGCTGGTGAAGCTGTGGAAAAGGGGGAACTCTCATATATTGTTGGTGGGAATGTAAACTGGTTCAGCCACTGTGGAGAACAACATGGAGGTTCCTCAAAGACCTACAAATAGAACTACCATATGATACAGCAATTCTGCTCCTGGGTATCTAGCCAAAGGATAGGAATGCAATCAGTCAGAAAAACACTTATACATCCATGTTTATTGCAGCATTATTCATAAGACATGGAACCAATCCAAATGTCCATGAACAGACGAATGGATTGAAAAAGCATGGCACATATACACTCTGGAATACTATTCAACCATAAAAAACAATGAGACCCTACCCTAGCATTTGATAGCAAGTAGACAAATATGAAAGATTTACTGTTAAGGTAAGCAAGCCAGACTCTGAAAGAGATAGTGTATGTCCCCACTCAAGAGATACCAAGTATCCACATTCTATGGCAGAAACTGAAATATTGGATGGTATAAAGGCATGAAGAGCAACTGTAGATACTAGAGATAGTGTGGAAGGAGAGTAGGAAATGGTGGAGGGAGAGAGGGAGGGAATCAAGGGAGAAAAGAAAGAAGCAAAACATTTAAGAAACACAAAATGGAAAGTTATTTGTTGATAATCTGTATGGTAAAATCTTTGAGCCAATATACAACATATTCTGGATGGGAAAATTAATTTTGTATGCTATAATGATATTATAGTGATTGATTGTAAAATTTAAAAAAAAATAAATGAATTGAAATGCAAGTACCAAAAAACAAATTCAGTTTAATGTGGGGAAGTAGAAGGGAAAAAACAATCTCAGCTTAAATGTCACTTCCCCAAGTAGGCACTGCTGACAGACAGAATTAGATCTTGGAATGTATGCCTATGAAACCAATGGGTTTCTTCAAGTAGATGGGATTCGAGTCAAACTTTGAATCATACGGCAACATGTATGTCCCAGGGATAGGCATACATGGTGTGTTATAGATTTTTTACTCTTTCCACCTGTGTACTCCATCTTCTTGTCACATATGTAGTCCCGCAAAGCCAAAGCTGAGCTGGTATAGGAATGGCCCTGCCAACAAAGTACCTGTGGAACCAGCCTTCTATGCAGAGATGCCATGACATCAAAAGGGGCTCTTCTGCTCTTACTCACTTGTACTAAGGACCAAGACAATGTTTGATTGTGCTCTGAGCAAAGCTGACTCTAGGGAGGATAGATAACATGTTAGAAAATTTTTTTTCTGGTGCGTTAAAACTTGCACAGGGATCAGCTGTTGGCGTAATGGCTATGTTGCTGAACTCCCATGTAGTGGATCGGGGTTCGAGTTCCAGACCTGGTGGCTTAAACTCATGCCAGGTGCATGTGCGTGCATGCCCAAGATCCCGAAAGGAAAATGGAAGAGAAGGGATTGCAGTGTGGCCATCCCCCTGGGTGGGGTGGGAGGGTTGATTTCTTGCTTTCTGTCTCTCTGTCTCTCTCTGTCTTTCTGGCGAGCACACGCACCCTATAGCAAACACCTCTTAAAAAACAAACAAACAAAAACCTTGCACAGAGAATAGCTTCAATGTTGATGGAGAAATTAAATAATCCTAGCATCTGCAAGAGGACATGTCTCTTCAGTGTCCTAAAACCTACCTGTCATCAAGGTCTATGGAGGTTTTCTCCCCTAGGTTTTATCTCCTTCTGTTTTACCATCACTGGCAATACCCTG